AGATAAGCCCACAGTTCATTACGTAATTTATGCTTAGGGCTTTCTCTCCTTCTGTGTGTGATGGAAGGAGATCGTGAGCGGGACTGGGACCGAGATCTAGACTGTGGTCGAGACCGTTCAGATGATCTATCTGTAGCGTTGGTCTTTGCAGTCTCCATAGTTGTCCTCATATTTGGAGTGATCATAAAGCTCCTCTTTTTCAGTTTTTGGTCTGTAACTGGAATCAGAATTTTCTCTAGAAAATGCATTGCTAGATCCTACTGTTTCTTCTAAATGTCATAACACAGTACACAGCATGCCCACAAGCATTTCGTGTGTGTTTGGAAGCATCACTGCTGCCAAGACATGAACATATGATGCAGGAGCACCTTGGACTATTTTTCTCCACATAGGCATTGTACAAGTGACACCCTCTGGTTCATCAACAACACCATCATATTGGGAGTCATCATACATAAGTTCCAACAACGCCAATTCTCTTAAATACTGAATGGCTTCTTCTACTTTAGTCCACTTCCTTGTTGGGCACGTTAAATATTCTTTGAACGGATACTTTCTTTAACAGCTGTGACAAGTCGTGCCCAAAGACTGGTTTTGGGTTTTGGATCAGCAACCAATTGATCAAGTTCGTGATTTTTGGTGAGGGATCCTAGTTGCTGTGCTTCATGACTTGGCAGTATGTGAGCTCTAGCCCCACCATCTCGGCATCGAAGCAGCCATGACAGAATTCGTTCACCAGGCTGACGACTATAATCTTTTCGCAAGTCCCGAAGTTCTGACGGGGTCATTGATCTTGAAACTTCACTTTCCATTTTCAGGCTGCTTTGCTTTTGTTGACTACTGGCACTAGTATCAGTATCGGGCCCTTCCCTGCTATCATCTGACTTGCTTTGATCTCCCATTGGTCGTAGGCTAATCAAGTCGGGCACCGATATCCAGCTCTTCTTTTTCACTACAGGGGCAAGGGGTATCTTGGGTGGTGTTGTTTGAGTTCCACTTCCTGTGGATGTAGTAAAGGCAGCGCTGGTCCAGGGGGCATGGTTTGAGTTTCTGCCTTGGCCATAGCCTTCCGAGAGTAGTCAACAGCAGCTCAATAAGCACTCACCAGGCCCCAGTACAAAGCAAAGAACTGTGTGTTCGGGTCCTCATAAGAAAAACACCCTTCAGCCAAGCGACGTGCCATCTCGTCAGGATCAAGCACTTGTTCTGGCGTGAACTCCCAACTAATGGGAGGTGTCACGCGTCCTACCAATTTGCCAAAATTGGCCCACATTCCTTGCCATCCAGAGACTGGCTTTTTCAAGGCCCTTCCCAAAGTTCCAGTGAATCCCTTTGAGGTTTGGCCTTTCCTGCAACAAGGAAAGCAGTACCACACTACCTTTCCAATTTTAAATAACACTTCCATGACCTTTATCAACAACAGCACCGTTGCTAAACAATTTATGTCAGGATTGGGGCCAGTTCTAATCCAAGGGCAACTAGACCCTTGAGGTCATAATCAAGGAAAGGTAGAAATTGGTACGTGCCTTCTGATTCCTTTCCTATAGGAAATCCATAGATATATATGAAGAGGGCTAGGATGGCAAAAAAATGAATAAAAAAGCCATGTTTTTATATTAGTTTTCCTTGTTCCCAAACAATAGGTATATTTATATAAACAAGCCTCTTTTGGCAGTTTTCCCAGTAACTGTTCCAAAACAAACCGTGATAACCAAAACAATCCCCATACTTATTTATTGCCCATCTTATGCGCTGTTGCCTTGAAGTTGGGACCCCAGTGAAGCAGACTTATTGGCTAGAATTCCTTTGCTCTGTGGGTACTTTCCTGCTGACCTGTGATCCCTCTTCAGGCTCTAGACATGTATTACTGGCATCAAACTGGTAAGAGTGGGATGGACTGAGGTTCACCTCCCACTGGCACCTTTAGTTTAAAGCTTGGTAAGCCTGTGACTGAAGTTGCTCTTCCCTTCCTCTGAGAGATGGATCCATCAGCCCCCAGTAGACCTAGTTTCTCAGACCAGTCCCATGGTCCAAGTCAAACTGGGTACCAGTCCCAGAACCATTTTTTGATTGACTAGATTCAACTGGCCCTTTCAAACAGCTCTCCTTTGACTGTGAGGACTGATGAAAAAACTGCATGCAGAGACTTACATTTTTTTAATTTAAGAAAAATCTGAGCATGGATATTTATGATGTTTCCTTTTTGGTTTTGTGGCACAACTGTTGTGTATGTATCTTTTTTGATTTTTCTTTTTCTATTTCTGCAACTGAATTATTCTTGTCAACTTACTTTCAGATTTGTGTATGTCTTAAAGATACTGCCTGTTAGGGACATCTGCTTTTACAAGATGTGCAGATATGCTTCAAAGCTAACTGTACATCTTAATATTTCCTTTGCAGAATGAATGGATTAGTTAAGGCTAGTTTTTCTCATGGGATATTCTACCTTGAATAATTAAAACCACAAACATAACCCCTTCTTTATCAAAATGCATTGTTACTGAAGGATTGTGACAAAAGGAATAATTCTTATACTTTGCGCTTGACTCATTAGTGCCTGGCTGTAAAAGCATAGTTGCATCTCAGTTCTTGGTTCTCTAAAGCATATTTTAGCAAATCCCTTAATATCTGTGAAAAGAGCAGTATTTGGGAAAGAATGATACTATTCTACAGATTCTTAGAGTGATGTAGGATGAAAAGGAACCTCTACAGGCCTTAATCCTACTTCTCCCTCAGATTATGGACAACTTTGAGCAGCTGTCAGAGATTTGTCCATGTAAATTTTCAGTGTTTTCAAAAATGGAGTTTTCACAAATTCTTTGTTCCTATATTTGTGTGATTGTTCGGACCTGGCTCCCTGCCAAATGCCCGAACTCACAGTAACAACCCCGTCCCCCTCCCTTCTTCCCTTAGGACAAGGAAAAAAAAAACTATAAAAAAATTGAAGAACCCGAAATCAAGCTAATTATATAAAAATATATATATTTACATATATTACAGTTATATACAATTAAGATGCTATGTACACAGCAAAGGGAATCCAAACACTCCCCCCCCACCCCAAGGGAAAGGGAAAGGGGAAGAAGGGATAAAAAGGGACAAAAACGGACACAGAACAGATATACACAATCAAACCTAAGAACTAGCAAAATAACTAGCAAAACAAATCTCACCACGTCCCTCAGAAAAGCAAGATCTCCAGACATGGCCAGCACTCTCCAAATCTCCCACGTGGCAGACCAGCGGTCATTGCCAGCCTCAGCCTTAGATAAGCGAGACCAACGCAAGGACCCACTGCTCCCGAACCTCACCGGAAGAGAAGAGAGCGAGGTCTTCAATTTCCAACTTATTTATACTCTGGTTTACATAAAAATCATAGGGAATACTGGGTACATGACCACTTCCTTGGTTATGAGCTGGTTACCAGGAAGGCCTAGACCAAAACCATCACAGTTTGGCAGTCCTTACTGTGAATTTGCTTCCCTAATATATAGTTACACTTTAAACCTACTGCATCCTATACATGTCTGTTGCCTTCTAACCTGTTACCTTTGTAACTCCCAAGAAGATTCTGGCTTCATCTTCTCTATACTGTAGCCTTGAGTTGTTAAAGATAGGTTTATAATTTCTTTAAAATGTACTATTAACTTCTGTTTAAATCATTTGTGAAGTACCTGATAAGTGTAACCTGGAATTTGTACTCTAAAACACTAGAAGGTACTGGAAATCATTGATGTAAGTACTGGAAATTGTAGAGTTCTTACTCCCCAGGGAAGTGGTCACAACACCAAACCTGATAGAGTTCAGGAAGCATTTGGACAGTGCTCTCAGGCACGTGGTGTGACTCTTGGGGTGTCCTGTGAAGAGCCAGGAGTTGGACTTGATGATCCTTGTGGGTCCTTTCCAACTCAGCGTATTCTGTGATTCTATGACTGTGCCTTTGTTTTTGTCATGATTACGAATCAACTCTGGGTTACCTCTGATTCCATTTTTTTTGATGAATGCATATTTGGTTCAAAGTGTAATAAGGCCTTTTTAACAACCCAGGAGCAGCTAAGTGCCTTTTCAAATGATCCTTGGTTTGTTGTATAATGGTAGAACTTCTGCTTCTTTGAATTTCTTCAGAAGTCTGTAAATATCTGAACAAATTTCCTAAACTTTGATTGATAATTTAACACAGTTGCCTTGTCTGCTAGTCCTCAGTTGCACTGTTGTTGCATACTGAGTAGATTGAGATCCTTCTTATGCTGAAGATACTCCATTTATCTGTGGAGATTTGCCTATAGGTGACATTTTCTGATTATAGACAGCAAACTTGTGTTTGTGTGCCAGGAAATCTATTAGTGTTTGTTGATAATACTGCCAGTGAGGTTTGTGTGATCAGTTATCTTGCTCTCCTCTGATTCATGTCAGTAGGAAAGTGATAAGTTCTTCTTTTATAAGGCATGTAGACCTACTACTTGCCATTTTATGCTGCTATAGCTTATACTTCTGCTTTTCAAGGGAGAGGTCAGCTGCTTACAAAAAGCATTGTTTTGCCTTAATCTTTGGCCGTGGTATGTTGTTAATTAGATCAGAACTACCAGACTTAATATTGTTACTGCTGTGCTAAAAGGATACTGCTCAGATTGCACAGAATTTTTTCTTTACATTAACTTTATCTTCTGAGGTTTTGTTTGCTATATACAAGACTGATTGCCTGCTCTTTTTAGAGCAAATTCTAACAGAATGGAAAATTTCTGAGGTACTTAACTTCAGGGTTTTATTACCAGGGGATATGATACAGGAACAAAACTGTACCAAAGTTTTTGTGCCTTCAGAAGTTTTATACGTAGGGTTTTTCATATCTGTTACTGTCTTAATTATAATAAATATATTTTCCCCTTTGGAAATGGTATATTTATATTGTTAGAAATTATTGTTGTCCAGTGACTATACAAGAAGTGAATTACAGCTGTTTCAATACAGATTTAATTACCCCTCTGCCTTTTCCATTGCAGTTTTTTCTTTTGTACTGCAATATGCAGGAATTCAAGCATAAGCCACATATTTCCAACTTTGGGTAATAATAACAGGTACCTGGAGCAGTCCCAAAGGAATTAAATAGTTGAAGGTCTAAATGAAGAAAGCTTTTACCTTGGCAGGCTAATGTCTTCACGGTAAGCAGTTTCTTGGGTCTCAGAAACTCTGCAATATTGGTGAGTGGGAAGCTACCATGCATAAACTTCATTCTAAGCACTTTCCAATTAATTTTGAATATGATACACACTTTCTGCAAAAGTTCACCCTAGAACTGCAGCAGCACAAGACAAAGGTTGTTAACCAAGCAAATTCTTGCATCAGAATGTCAATTCACTATCTGACCAAAGACTGTTCTAGTTGTACTGAGACATGTGAAAAACTTGTTTTATCTCACACTCTTTTCTGATGGAAAGACCCAATACCAAGTGGGCTTTATTTGAGATTTCTATTGGTGATTGAAACAATGGAAAATGAGATTGTAATGTGAACCAAATGGTGTGAGATAAGGCAAAAGGTTAATGGACTACTTTTAGTACTGTATTCAAGACTTAGAAAACATGTCTAAGAATTGCTGTCATTCCCTCATTTTACATGATCTGTTCATAAATGTTCCCTTTCAGTTTATAAAAATGTTCATGTAACACAAGAAAATACTGTAATTATTTGCAATATCATGTTTTTTGGTTTTGTTTTTGTTTTTTTAACCTGGCAAAAAAGTGTTTGGGGGAACAAATGGAAATGTAAAATGTTTTTTTATAAAAAAGATTGTCTGTATATTTTAATAAGCAACAGCTTTCATTTGTAAAGTATCTTACGGCATTGCATGAAAAGTATTCCATGTCTGTAGAGATGACTTAAAAATTAAAGAAGATATAAGATGTATTAAAGAAACCTATTTTGGGACTGTGTAATGCATGGTGAATTTGATTATGCTGTAATATATTCTGTTTGTTTAGATTAGCGTGTTTTCTGATTATTTAGTACCTATACCTATCTCTTTTCCTAACTAGTTGTTATAGCATGTCTTTTAATAAATGTCATTACAGTTGTACTCTCTTAAGTTCTCTTGTGTTCTTGTCTACTGCTTTGGGTTTTTTCTTGTTTTATAATTGTGCAGCTAATAATGTCTTATTTTCATATCAAAGATATTTTAAGAAGGTTAGTGCACATCTTCAGCAACAAGTACACCCTTGTGTAGGACAGAAAATCTTATTTTCATGAGATGGAAATCTATTCTACGACTCAGAGCCAATACAGCAGCTGATGACTACTGCATTCTTTGAGATGAGGATGTGAGACTTCAATGATGACAGACTTGGGGAATCTGTGAGAATTCATTTGTTTTCTCTTTTACTGTGCTGTACTCTTAGAGCATTAGGATTCAAATTCATATCATTTGCACAAAGATTTTAAAAAATTAAAGTAGCATCTGAAAGAGATGGTCTGCTTTCAGCTTCCTGTTTCTCAACTTCTAGATTGCACTTCTTTCAGACTCCTTTGCTTGTCCTTCTCTGTGTTACACAGCACTAGTTTAGACCCTTTTATTCTGGCATCCGAAATTCAGGATTGCTGGTAAACAGACAGTAGTCTAAAGCAAGAGATACAAATATGTGTGTGATGTGGGGAGTGCAGCCCCTCTTTCTGATCTAAAATTCTCAGCCAATCTGGCAGGTGTTTAATTGTCTGCCACCCAGTCCAAGCCTAGCACATCTTGAAGAATCCGAAGTCTCGTGCCTATACTTAATGACTGCCTGTGTCTCAAGACTAGGACTAGAGCACTGAGCAAATTTAGTTTAAATTATGCTATTACCAATCTCTGAATGTAGATGCCTTTGTAGGGAGAAAAACCTAATTGAGTTTAGCTGAATTGCAGCTTTCAGCAAAATACTTATTCTCCAAAGGCTGGATATGAAGTCCTCATATGTAATTCTTGATTTTGTCCTTGATACTTAAATATTTGATGAGAATTCTGTGGAAAATGTTAGCTTTTGGTGGCCAAAATCTGGCTTCATATTTTTTGACCAGGTCTGCCTGAGAAAGTATAATAGGAAAGTAGAATTCCTGTATGTTGTCTTTTCCCCTTCCTACCTAACAAAAAAAGTAAATCCCATCTTGAATTCTTGTCAGCTGCTGTAACGCTGTAATATAATCACAAGTAATTTTGGTTTCCTAAGCAGTTAATATAAGTGTCCCTCTTTGAAAATGAAAATCACTTGTAATTAGAATAAATATAAAATTTTTAATACTTGGAAGCTGAAACAGAAAGGGCAGTAATTGCTGAATTTGCCAACATGTAAGATCTCATATGGTTTGTATCAATCCTAAATGATTTCTCCATAGCCCCAGGCCTCACCCATTTACAGAGATGGAAAGAAGATAATGTGTGCTTTAAAAATAAAGTAAAAATTTCCACTTGCATTTTTTTAAGTGCACTGAGATACTTGGATTTCAGTTATTCAGCATGTAGCAGGTGAGTACAAGGACATGTAAACAAAAGATATGAAAGTGGAAATTATATGGTAGAATATGTAGATGAGAAAAGGCATGGGACTGCTAGAGGTTAAGGGGAAAAGACACTTCAGAGTAGTGAATCTTCACAGAGACCATTTCCAGACCAATGTTTTTGCTGTCAACCATAAACTCATCACAGATGCTGCAAGAGAAACAGTCCACTGACCAGGAGAACACTTTAGAGTAGTATTAAGGTAGCAATATGAGTTGCCTAACTCCAAAAGAGTTCTTCTAAGGAGAGTAATGCTTTAGTCGCAAGTTACATTTGCCGCTTAGTCTAAGCCAGTAACGCTTTTAGGTCCTGTTTTTCTGCTTCAAGTGCAGCTGGTCAGAGTACATTTGAGAGAATCAGAGCTTTTAATGCAAGCAAAAGCATACCTTCTCTAATACCTCCATTAAATCTACTGTGTAAAGTGTTTTCTAGCTATGGTTTAACTAAGCCTTCCAGTACCTAATACAAGAAGGTTGGAGAGGGACTTTTCACAAGGGCTTGTAGCAATACGACAAGGGCAAATGGCCTTAAACTGAAGGAGAATAGGTTTAGATTAGGTATAAGGAAGAAGTTCTTTTCTGTGAGAGTGGTGAGGCACTTGACAGGTTGCCCAGAGAAGTTGTGGACTCCCCATCCCTGCAGGTGTTCAAGTGTCACTGCCCACAGCAAGCAGATTGAAGTACACGGTCTTTAAGGTGCCTTCCAACAACTGCCATTCTATGAATAGTTTCTTTTGTATGTGCATATTATTTGTATGATGAAGGGTCTGTGATAGTTCTTATTGGGGGCTTTGTGGGGTTTTTTTTTCCCCTCCAGAGCCCATCTTGGTCTGAACAGCCACATTACTCAATGTTTGGAAACTTTTTTAAAAGCAGACAGACTAAAGGATATTGCTTAATACTGCAGGCTTGCAGCTCTGTGGTTGAATATGGGTTCTATTTCTACCTTACTGTGATGCTACCCAGCACACACCTAGAGAATATATTTGCAAACACTGTTCAATGAGTATCACTGCCTGTGAAAATAAAAATGAAGCTTTTTTAAAAAATACTATATTAACACCAAAAAATTACACAAGGTTGAAGAAATTAAGATAACTGCTATTCAGTGCTGTGAATTCTGTCGATGATCTGGGAAGAACTGTCTGTAGCTTCATGAATTATTTTAGTAAGTGCAATATGTGTGGGTGCCGGAAGGGAGGGTTGTGAGTTCCTTTCTAATTAAAAACTCACAGATAAGACTTGGCAAAACATTGAAGTCAGGTTTAGTTCTTACCAAAGAACATGGCAATGTCACTAGTCAATTTTTCAGCATTTCTAACCTGTTCTTTCCTTCTCTCCTCTTTTATTTCCAGTTCTCACCTGTGCCCAAATTGTCCAAAAGCAGTGTGACATTTAATATCAGCCATATTGCGTATTCAGCAAAATGTCATTTCTGTATACGCTGAATTTGACCCATCTGGTCATCAGACTTGGAAGTGTCTTCTGAATTGTGTAATTGTTGTTCCTCATTTTTGAAAGCTGTAAAAATTTCTGTTTAAGGGCACAGTAAGTTTCTGAAAAGGGTTTGCTACCTCAGTATTCTCTTCTATTACATCTGTTAACTGAAAGTGGTTTCCCCACCTTCCTTCCTGATGTTTGGTTGTGCGACATACTCTTTTCTTTTTGTGTGGATGCCCTCAGTATGACTGAACATCTTAAAATTCTCTCTTGCTGAGGCTTTAATTATCTTGTCAAAAGCATAATGCATTCATACTGTTGCTCTATGTGATTCAATGAGTTTACCCTCTCAGAGCCTTCACCTGGTCTACCAGATACTGAACTGGTTGAAGATTTTGGTAGCAGACCTCTCCCAGTTGTTGAGTGCATTTAATTTCAACAGTAAATGACAATGCATTATGCTATTTGAGTTCTTCAGATTAGGTGTAAGATCTTTCAATATTAATTCAACCATGAGGGCTAATGAAAGTTAATACACAATACCATGCTTCGTGATGCTAAGACTTGTTATGGCATAAATGTCTTTTTCTCTCCTTCTGCTCTGATTTGGCACTGTTGGTTACAGCCTGCTTGACACAAGGTGGCTTGGGTTGATTTCTCCGTCAAGCCATACTATATATGCTTGTAAGATTCCCAGAGAACTTCCTGGAACTCTTTATGGAGCTATTATTCAGCACTCAGTGCAGAACTATGTTTCTTGTGTAAATGGTTCTTCTCTGAGAACAGTGTTCAATCACTGTATTACTTTTATGCTTATTTTGTGTGGGTCAGATTCTCCCAATTTTATATTATGGGAAGATTACACTTTTTACTTATTTTTTATTTTAATGCATATATTTTGATCAGGGTCCTTCAAAAAATATTTTCACAGTCATTGTTGCCAATCATCAGCAGGAAAATAGATAAGGAAGAGATTATTTTTGAAGGGTCTGACCAAAAGATGTTATGTATCCTGTCTTGCCTGGGATATCTTACTCCCTTATGTCACATGAAATCTGACAGGAAAATTGCTGATAACTTTGCAGATCAATTGCCTAGAAACAATGAGTTTGATTAAGATGCTGAATGTAAGTTGAGAAATCTTGCTGA